TGACCAAATTAAGTCAAAAAGCCATTGTTGTTGCAAAAATTCTTTAGTGTCTTTGTTGCTAAGGTTTGTTTCTTGTAAAAGAATAATATCCAATTTAGATAATTTTAATAATATTAGAGTGTTTCTTTGTTTTTGTTTGTTATTGAGCCCCTTAACATTAAAAGTTGCTGTTGTTAATTTTGATTTAGTCATTGTTTAGATAAGAAAAAGATTTGTGTATTTTCAGAGGTCTTATTTCTATTCAGAATTCTAGTTTTCAAATAGAGTTTGTTTTTTTCTTGCTTTTTGTAAGAGCTTCTTTTAACTTTTTTTCACTTATTGGTAACTAAAATAAATTCTAGTTCTTTTTTCTCAAGGTCAAGAGGAGAGGTAGTTTGGTGTATAGTCAATTGACTTTCAGTTTGTTGTTGCTGATTAGGAGTAACTAAGTTCTCTTTATTCATATCTGGTAAAACTTTTTATTGATTTGAAAGTTCATTGTTATCCATTTCTAAATCAGGTTGGTTGCTAGCCCAAGCAAGAGATTCTTCATTGAATTGTGAAATAGTAACTGCAATAACTTTACATTCTTGAGTAACTGAATTCTTTTTTTAGAAAGTTGCTTTATTTGGTAGTTTGTTTTGCACGTTGGAGAATTCTAGAACATTGTATAGAGGTTCTATTACCCTTTTGGTTTTATTCTCTTGATATTTCTTGTACTGTTGTCTGAGTTCAACTGCCTCTTTAAATTGCTTACAGTCTTTTTTAATATGTCCTTCCTTGTCACAAAAGAAGCAGACCTTAGGAGCTGACTTTTATTCAATTGTAACTTTATATTTCATAAAAAAGTATAGTATGGGATTCTTGTTTCGAGTTCTGAATTATCAGTTGTCTCAAAGATTATGACCCATTGATCAGTTGCATAAGGAGTTCCTTCAATAAGAAGTAGTTTAATAGCTGTGATTTTTCTGAAGTTTTCAAAGGTCTCCAAAATTGCTTTAGAAACTCATTCTTTGTTGTTAAGTAGTACATTTCTGATCTTAATATGCAAAAATGATTTTCTATTATCTGTAGAAATAAATTCATAATAGATTTGATTAAAAATTCCTATACTCTTGCTGGCATAGTGTTTGAGCTGTTCATTATTAGCAAATGCTAGTTCTAAGTGTGTTTTGTTACCTTTGGCAAAGGGTTGTTTTGTAGTGATTATATCTTGTCCTATATGTTCATATAAAGAAAACATGCTTTCATTAAAAAAGTAGTTTAAGCTTCTAATATCAAACACCAAAGCATTATTATTTTTTAACTTAATAGAATTTCTAAGAGATTAGGCAGAGTATATAGACTGCCTTCTTTTTAATTTTGCAAAAAGGCTGAACCATTGCTTTTTGCTCTCTTGGGGTGTATCTGTATTAGCATATATTTCAACATATAGATTGGCATATGCTTTACTGTATACATCAGGTTGTGTCTCAATTAGAGTTGTGATTATACTAGTATAATAAAAATGCCTAGTATAATACTAAATATTATATTGTATTATATCGTATAATATAGTATAATAAAAATTTATATATAAATAAAAAATTAAATATAATATATATATATAATAAGTACATATAATATTTTATTATAATATAAAAACTTAATATATAGTTAGTTTCATTTATATATAACTATATATATGTCTATATTTATATATTTGTAAAAATTATATAAAGAAAATTTTTTTTAAATAAATATAGCATTATTTAAATTAAAATCATTTTTAACATTTTAATTACTAATATAACTTTCATCTAAAACTTTATTAACATTTTCATTTTCATTATATTTAATAATGTATTCTTTTTTTGTATAATGCATTCTCAAATTACTGTAAATATAAACTAATTTTTTTACCTATTCATTTTTTAAATAATTTCTAGTTTTAGAATAAATATATCCAAAATTAGAATAATTACATTCTGCAAAAGCAGACGAAGTTAGAATTGACAAGATATGAATAGCAAGTTTTTAAAGCTCTGATGAAGGCCAAAAAGACCATCAAGTCAAAGGATTAAGATAAATAGCTGAATTCCAAATTAACTCATTATTATATAATATTTGTTTGTTATGAAATTTTAATAAATTTGCATATATTCTAGATGCTTTTTCATTAGGATACTTTAAAGAAATAAAGTTTGCAAATATTGACAAACAATCTAATTCATGATTATTTTTCTTGCTTTCTTCAAGATAATTTGGATTTAATAAAAATATGATAGTTATAATAGAATGGTAGATATAATTCCAATGATTTTGAATTTTTTGTTGAATTTCTGCTAAATAACTACAACTAATTTTTTGAATTTTAGTTAAGATCATATTAAAACATGAATAAGTTGATAAAATTGTTAAGTTATTAGTTTTGAATGCTTTTAAAGCAGCAACAATTGGTTTAAGAATTTTAATAATAAATTTAAGATTATTCCAAAATTCATCTAAATGTAATTGTACCTTAATTTGTGCTTCTAATAACATTGTACTTTGATCATAAATCATTTGTTAAATTGCTATTTGTAATTTAATAAATGCTTTAATACAATCAAGATGTATTCTCTATCATGTAATTACAGGAAAAACAAAAGCAATTTCTTTACTATAATTTTTTCTTTGAATATGTCGCAATTTTGCTATTGAAATATAATAGTCTTTAAAATATTTAACAACTGTTTTGATATTATCTAAAACTATTTTAATTACATCAATTTTTAAAATATCACTAATTAATAAATTAATAATATGTGAAAAGCATCCAAGACAAATAATATGAGAATATTTTTCTTTAATTATTTTCCAAGTAGCTTTCATATTTGCTGCTATATTTGTAATAATAGATAAAAATTTATGAATTTCTACTTCTTCTATTTTTGTAATAATTTGAATTGTGATCCACTCTACTGTATGACAAGCTTTTTCAGAAAAAATTGCATCATAAAATATTGAATTAGATAAACAAATAATGAAATTTTGAACTGCTTTATGATTAATATTTGATTAACTGTCAGAGACCATAGTAAGATTTTGGATATTATCTATTTTTTGTTTAACATTATTTTTAATATCTTTATATACATTTTCTAAAAGTCCTATTGATAATTTATCTCGATTAGGAATTTTAAATGATGGTCGAAATGCATTAAAAAATTCTATCTAAAAAGGATTTATAAATGTATTAAGAGAAATACCTGAAGCATAAATTGCTTTAGTGAATTTATAATCTAAATTTGTTATTTTATTATGATCTATTTGATTAACATAACTTACTATAGTACTTTGTTGTATTAAATTTGAATCTTGCAATTTTGGTTTTTTAATAGTTTTTGCTAATTCAGATGCATTTAAACAATTATTAGTATGCTTTTGCATATGAGTTGCAAGCCCACATTTAAATTTTTTAGAACAGTATTTACATTGTACAAGTGGATGTAATTTTTTGGGACCTTCCTAATCTTAAGTATTTGTTGATAAAGAAATAACATCTTTAGTATCGTCTTCATTATTACTTAATGTCTCATTATAACTATCAAGTTGACTTAATTCATTGAGTGTTAAGATTCTCTAATAATCCTAAATTTTACTTTCTTGTGACATATTAATAATGATAATTAAAGAAAATAATAGTTTATTTGAGAAAAAATTATAATAGTTGATATATTTAACAAGAATATCATGCTTTCTTTATTATAATTTAACAAATGAACAAAGGTGATATTTATAATAATTATATTATAAATATTATTATTCATGTTTGTTTTATATGTTAATTATTTCTTACTAATAGTTTGATTCATTAATTTATTTAAAATAAAACAATTCTTGTTATTATAATTTTAAAACTCAATTATAAAAGCAATTTACTCTTCTTTTATCATAGTATTACTTTAACATATATTATACTATGATATATTTATAATAGTAATATTTAATTATTTATTTTTTTTTGTTTTGCTAAATTGTTATTTAACACTGACAATTTATCACAACTTGCATATATATTAATTGTACAATTTAACAATCTTATATGAATGCTAAAATTATAACAGATGAAACTTGCAATAAATTTAGACTTAATTTGTATTACAAATAAGTTTTACTTTTGTATAATTATTTAAATAGGTTTTATTAAAATTTAAAGTGGGTTTTAGAACAATTGACCAGATAATGATAGTGAAATGTTTGATTATAATATTTATTATGTGAAATGTTTGAATACAATATTTATTATGCAAAATGGTTGATTACAATATTTATTATACAGATGATGATATTTTTCATGCAGATAATTAAGAATATATGTAAATATTGATTTAATGATAACTAATCAAAAAGTATCAGAATATACAAGTTTGAAATAAAGTTGAGTTTGTTTTTTGTGAAGAAACAAATCCAGCAATTTGATTGGCTATATTAATATTACTAGTATTCTACTTAGTCATCTATGTATAATACTTATATAATACTTGTATAATACAATTAGTATAATACAATATAGGTATAACCCACATCTCTAGCCTCAATACATGTTTCTGCATCATTTATATGACTTTCTTGTTTATTATTATATGATGCTTCATGTATATATGTTTTTATTGTTGTCAGTTTGTTGCTTGCAGCATTATCTTTTCCAGTAGTTCTAGCTTTTGGGCTTTTATTATTGTTTTTCTTTGCAATGTTACTTTCTTATTCTGTTGCCAAGATAGCACTTCTATTTAGTTCTTGCCCTACTTGTTCATCTCAGTTTGCACTGTTGTTTGAAAGAAAACTTGTCTCATATTCCATATTTTGCTTATTTAGAAGGAAGTTTGTTTCAAGTAAAACTCTTTTGTGTTTTCAAAGATTAAATGGTATAAGTCTACATTTCTTAAGAACAAGAGCCTATGACCTAGTTCTAATAAAAAATAAAAAGTCTTTGCTTTCTTTGTTAGTTGTTATTTTGTCAATGATAAAAATCCTGTTCAAGTCAGTGATAACAGGAAAGAGTTTGTATTTATACCTCTAAGTTTAGTACTAATACAATTATTTGATTGTTTGTTTGCAAGGATGAGACATGATATATGTATTGCATTCTTATAGATACCAATTTTGAAACTTTTAGGACACTTCTGGTAAAAATAGTCAAGGTTGATAGTATTTGGTGCAATTGTAAACAAGATCAGTATTTTTTCCTAAAAATAGGTTTCAAAGTATGTTTTTCGAAAAAATTTATTTAAATTAAAGGTTTTTAGACTAATTAGAAAAGTTTAAAAAAAGTTTAAGCTTTAGGTAAGCTAATTGGATGTTTAGAAAATTTTAATAGGTATCAGAAAAGTAAAATTTCTGTGACACTTTAGCAAATTTTTCTAAAATTGCTAATGAAAAAACTTGTAAAAAACAAGTTTTTATTTTTGCTTTTTGCTTGTATCTCAATGAGTTTTGGTTTGTTTTGAACAAAATATATATCAAAAGTCTGGCTCAGTAAGCTAAACAACTTTTAAATAGACAATATAATAAATTTAATTAGTAAAATATTGAGTAAATGAACAAAAATCAAAAAGATGGTTTTTGAAACTTTTTCTAGCACTCAAGTGTTATTAGGACTTAAAACACAACTGCCTAGGAGTAAAAAAGTGTGCTAAACAAGTTTACTTAAGAGATCAAGTAAGGTTTACTTAGTAAAATATTGAGAAGTAATTAAATGTTTTTTTTTGTATTTTTTGGTATAAGTAATTTATGAAAAGAGTTGCTATTTTGTTTTTTTCTATATACAAATATATAAGAATCAATTATTATATATTTAATTATAAAAATATAACTATAGAGAACTGAAACTCTTTTGCTAATATCTTATCTTAATAACTTTTATTATACAAAACTTACAAAACTTCTATTAATTATACAATTAATAAAAGTATTAAAACAATATAATACAAAATTTAATACTTCATAATCTATAGTACTATTTATATTATTTCTAATAAAAATTTTTATAAACATAGTTACAATTATTAATATTTATCTTATAGTACTCTACTATTTTTCTCTTTTAAAAAACTTAGCCATATTAAACTTGTTAAAAAATAAAAACTTATTTAATTCTTTAACATCTTAAGTATTAATTAAAACATCTTTCAAATTAACAAACAGTTACAATGTAACTTTCAAATACTTATCTTCATCAATTTTTTTTGTATTTAACCATGGCTTCAACATGTTTAGTTTACTTTAAAACAACTCTATTATGCCTATCAACTTAAAAACTTTCTTTTATTTTAATAACAAATTTATTAATAAAAGATATATAACTATTATAACATATTCTATTTAGATTATTAATAGCATCTTTAATTACTACCACCAATCTGTTCACTTCTTAAATATAAAATTGCTTAATCAACTTATTACTAATTTATTACTTATTAAACAATACATCTAATTGTATTTTTATAATTGAATTATATTTAGATTTATTAATAAAACTCTTTTTAACTATTTTTAGAAACAATAGTATCTTTCACTTTCTTATATTAATTCAACCTGATATTACTCTCTTAATTTTTCTATTATTCTATAGATATTAGTTATAAAATGCTTAAACATATTAACTTCTATTGCACTTCTGCTATTACTACTTTTCTTAATTGTTATTTTCTTAAAAACAGATTTCTAAACAATAAAAATATAACAAAATTTATCTTTAAATAAAATACTTTTGATAATGATTTTAATCTTATATCACTTATCAGTTTGATTAAACATATCTACAAACTTTATATAAAAATTCTTACAAACTAATTTAACTTTATATTCTCTTCAAACTCTATCTTTTTACTTTTTAATTATGTCACTTTTTCTAACAATAATACTTTAATTTCTATTTATTTTTTCAACAATATTATTAAAAATATTATTTGCAATTATTTTTACAAAACATAAATAAAGCATATAACTCTATTAACTTTGTTTTTTTTAAACATTTACTTTTTTATTTTTCACTTTTTTCATTAATTATTAATTTTTTTCTAACCTTCTTACTGATTATCACAACTAAGTTATTACTAATCTTGGTCTTATTTTCTTTTATTCTGTTTACAATAACATTAATCAAAATAAAACAATTATTTTTTTATTATGATGTATTTATTATGATCTACTTATTTCATATATATACTTAAAAATATTTCATTATACTATACAATCTATTTGAACTACTAATCTAAAACTTCAAATATCTAATTTACTATAAATAAAATGCTTTATTTTAATATATATAGATAATACTCTCTAGATTGCTTTCTTGATGTTAAGATAAGGCCTTGCTCATATCTTTATTAATAATTTTAACTGTATATTTTAGTATAGAAGTACTGAAATAAACTAAGGTTGTTTGTAACAAAATAAAAATTACATACAAGAATAAAAACTTAGACTAGTTTATCTGCAATCTAAACTGATAGATTGCTTTTTTATAAACTAAGCTCTTTTATATATTATATATAATTAAATCTTTTTATACTATAACTAACTTTTTTCAAAATCCATTCTGATTACTAATAATCTTTTATCTCAATATATTTTTATCTTTTATAATAATTATTTTTTTTATTTTACTCTTCTAAAGAATTTTTTAAGTTTTTAGATTGTTGGTTTATTCTAAATAATAGTTAATCTAAACAAACAAAACTAATTATTTTTAAATCTTTTTAACTTATTTAAATTGCAAAAACCAAATACATAACTGACTTACATATCTATTATATTATCAATATAGTTATTATTCTTACTATTAAATATTACTTGCATAACATTATAATTAACTAACCTATTTGCAACAAAATCTTTATTCAATACATTGTTCTTGTTAAGCTCAAAGCCAAACTCTATCACATAATACCTTCTAGTACTCTTTTGCATCTTCAAATCTATAATATTAAACATATTTGAATATTCAACTATAACAGCATATTTTTAATATTCTCAAATAACTCTAACCTATTAAGTACATTCATCTATATATAAATTCAATAACTTCAAAATAATCTTTAGTCTTTAAATAATATTTTTCTATATTTTATTCTAATTATTAATAATTTTAATTGTTTAACTACAAACTTTAAAATAATATAGTTTATTAAATATATAAATTGAACCTTTTAACTAACTCAATCTACAACATTTTATATATTCTAAATAATAAAACCATCTCTTTTAAATCTTATCTTTCTTCTTATTCAAAATATTTAATTTTCAAAAAATAATTTAGACATTACAAACTTTTTTTTTTGAACCAACTTACTACTTATAATAATTTATGTTTATTATACTAGCAATACATCTTACTTAGATTTAACAAATTTTCTAAAAGTATTATATTATAATAGTTTACTACT